CAGGGCTAGGAGGGTCGCATATAATTAGTTATCCGTATGTTCAATCCTTACTAATGTTTTATATCGAGAAAATGAGTGGTAAGCTGCTTGAAATAAGTTAGATTAGTCGATGTGGTGGTTGGCGAACTGGCTCTGGCAAGTTTTGAGAACCGTGTTCTTTCCTAGGCAAAAATTCATACCCCAGATTAGAGGTTCATTGAGCTAAAAAGGATCCAATCAGGTTTGACGAGTGGTGTGATTACTGATAATTTGGCTCTGCCAATCTCAGCCTAGTATTTGACCATTAGATGTTTACAATTTTAGGTACACCTTCATAATTAAGATATGTTTATCTTTATTTTTTACAATTAATTTCCCCTTTTATTTCCAGGTAAAAGGGCTTCATCTTCAGCTGTCAATCAGGAAAGCAATGACGAAGAAGATTTTGATGAGTACCTTGAGGGCATGTTTCCATAATTGTTGGTTAGACTCAGCTGAATGAGTGAAGCCTTTTAGAGTAATCCTTTTCTGTGCTGACAGCCTGACACCGTAGTTACCAAGCGAGATGCTGAAATATCAAATTGAGCTGAAAGTCATAAAATTTGGCCTTGTTCATTCTGCTGCTGAGCCTGTAAATTATACTGATAAACACTGTTTGTTGCGTGCCAACACCAATTAGAGGAAGCGTGGTTATATAAAGCATGTGGGAAGTATAAGAAATTATGACTGATAAGCATGATACGTAGTTTGTATTTTCGTTAGATGAGCTTTTTGACGTAGACTGGAGATTTTCTTAACGATGAAATTTAGGTATAAATATTGGACTTTATGTAAACGCAAATGAGGTGGTAGTTGGCTTAATCTTGTTCTCATTTTCAGTAGAAGAATTAAAGAAAAAGGGAAACGCGGGTCATTCTTTTTCTATTTGCAAGTCATAGCGTCAGAAGTGAGCAAAGTTCAACTACAAGTTTAATGAAAGCATCGTTTTCAATTTCTTCACCGAATTTAATACGTTTAGTTGTTTTGGTTACTCAATCGTTAAAAAACGGCATTGCGACAACATTTTTATTTTATTTTTTAATAGATAAATTATAAATTTAATCTTATAAATTTAACTACCAATCTCTTCAAATATTCTTTTTTTTTTCTTTCCGTTGTACAGTGGGAAGTGGTACCACTATTGTGAAGTATATGATAAGATTTTTATAATTATCCACTTCATTAACAGCTAACCAGTGAAATTACCGTCCAGCTCAGTTGGTAGAACACAAGGTTCTTAACTTTGAGGTCGTGGGATCAAGTCCCATGAAGGGTATTTCATAATTTGGAGGTCTCCGAAGTTGCTCTCAACTTAGTGTTGGGGGTCAACCTACTATCTTACCTCCCCTTATTCCATTACATATGGGAACAAGGGACAACCATTAACAACTAACCAGAAACTAAAATCCAATACACGAATCATTTTACTTCAGTGATTAAATGAATCGTTGTTGTTTTTAGAGATCATGTGTCTGATGTTATTCTTAGAGGTAACGGGTTCGAATATCAGTGACTGTAACAAGGTGATTAAATTTTTTTTGTTAAATGATTAAAAATATTAAAAATATGTATTATTTTATAAGCTTCTTAGTTTAATTAAAAAACAAAAACCAAGAGAGGGAGATTCTAGTTTGGTTTTTTTAGGGTAATGTGTAACGCATGGCGAGGTAAGAAGTGAGCAGATTAGGATAAAGAAAATTATTAATCTGTACAATTAATTGTTCCGTAATACATACATATGTTTTGTTACCTAGGATGAATACAAAAAAAAAAGGGGGAATAAACACATTGAAGAAAAGGGGTTGTTGAGTTGATGGTTTGGCAATTGGCAAAATTACAAAAGGAAATAAAAAGTGACGTGGCGATATCTAAATAAACGCACCCGTTTTATGTTTCCTGATCACGACACGTTGAGTGTGCATCAAATGTGTCACCGCTGGCGGTTATTTCCGTTTACACTTTCGTTTTCATTTTTTTTATTAATATAGTGTAAGTATAAGATAAAATTTATTTAAAGATAACTCTTAATCATCTGATATTGAACGGTCATGCTCTTGACATTCATGATGTTAGAATCCGAAACTTTAAGGAATAACAATAATTCTTTTACTACTGAGATTGTTTGGTTCGTACCCATTTCCACTTTTTTATTTCCCTTTAATTAAAAACCTAAATTGAAAATAGCAATAATAATAATAGTAATAATGCAATAAAAAAATCTATCTTGGATCTGTCTCGGTCCCTAAACAAATACTTTGGAATCCTAATCCTGGTTCTACCATTTTCAAACACTTTCTTGGATCCATGTCTATCTGGCCATGTACACACCATAATAAGGTTAAAAAATATAGGTTTAGCCGTCCACAATAATTTATTAATTTGGTATGGAGGTGATGAGTCCTAAACTTGGTGTCCAATTAAGAAATATAAATGTCAATTAAAACTTCTCTTGGCTACGCAAAAAGTTGCTTTAGGGAAAATATCAGTTGATAATGGCTTCTCAACTATAATAAAGAAATCAGTTTCTGAAAATAGTTTAAACTTAGAAAATATTAAAAAAAAAAAAAAAAAGGAGTGGAGTGTATAGGTGACAAGTGTGGACTACTTGGCTTGCTTTGCTTCTAATGCCTACCCGTTTCACACCACATCACTTTTCTATATATTTATGGGTAAACTGTGTATTTAATCACTCAACTATCATCTCAATTATATTTTAGTCATTTAATTATTTTTTTATTAATACAGGTTAAGTGCAAGATAATAATGTAATTTTCTTAAAAATTTTATAAATTTTTAATGTAATTTTCTTAAAAAAGTTATTATTGTTTTTAATTAAATCCTTAATTTATATCGGATCGGATCACATTTATACTCAAAAAAATCGGATTCAGAAGGAGGGTGCATGTTTTCGGGTCGGTTCAGGTTGACCAAAAATCTGACCTTACCCGACCCATTGTCATCCCTATCTATGGTCTTCGAACTTGACTCCTTAAAGAATAACAACAATTCATTTAGCAGGAGACCACTTGGTACGTTCCATCTAATTTTTTTTTAAATCATAGCTAATGTTATATTTTAATTTTATTTTGGTCAAACTCCGTTAAAAAACTAGCACTGATGTTAATATTATACTTTTTATTTTTCAATGACGATTTGATATTAAATTATGATGACACGCAAGTAATCATGTAAATTTTTTATAATAATCGACTAAAATGAAACCAAAATTATAACTTAATAATAATTTTAGAAAATATAATTGAATAAAAAAAAATAAAATAAAATTAGAATTAGAATGATAATTGAATGATTAATCACGTAGTTTTTCCTATATTTATTTATATTATCATTACCACTAATGAACTTCATCTTCATCCCACCACTTTTCTATTTTATTTTATCTTACTTACGTCCGATGACATTGTCACGTTTAACTATTTCCACTCTTTAACCTTTCTTTTTATCTTAAAATATTTAATTATTATTTTATTTATACAACCATAAAACAAAGTTTTCATGGTTAGGTTATACTTTTCTCTAATCTACTTCTATATTTTGATTTTAAATCTTTTAATATGATTAATTTATGATTTAATTTTATATTTCAATCTAATATAATTCTATCTTATATACTTATGGTAAAAATACTGTACAAATGAGTTCGAATCCTAGGGGTTGGGAATTGAGAAAACTGAGTTGAGAGAGTTGTCCTTGCCTCTGCAGTACCCAATTCGGATTAATCGATCAATAGATCAATAGATCGGATACCGATTGCTATACCAACAAAAATATTGTACAAATAAAATTAATTTATTTTATTAGATTTTAGGAATATTGATTTAGAGTTTAAATTTAGAATTCAGACTTTAAAATTTATTTTTATAGACGATGTTTAAAGTTAAAGAGATGACTATCCAGCTCAGTTGGTATAGCACAAGGTTCTTAATCTTGAGGTCGTGGGATCGAGTCTCATGGAGGGCATTTCATAATTCGGAGGTCTTCTACGGAAGCTGCTCTCAACCTGGTGTTGGGGCAGCCTATTATCTTACCTCCCCTTTACCCCATTACATATTAGAACAAGGGACAACCATTTTTTAAAGTTAAAGAAATTAGGCTTAATTATAAAAAAGTGGTCAAACTATATCACTTTTTTATGAATAGGTATTTAAACTATTTTTTTAAAAGATCTCGGTACTAACGTTATTAACGTTATTACTTTAGGTGTCCAGATCGTAAACACAATTAATTTTCTTCGTTAAGTGACACGTGTCATATTATGATAATTTTGAAATTTATTTTTTTTAAAATTTAAAAAATATAATATATTTATAAAAAAATCCTAATTTATCTTAAATTACAAAAAACCAAATTTCTAAAAATCCTTAATCTCTAACCCTAACCTGTCACCGCCACCCTTTCTTGTCACGACCACTTCCGCTGATGTACTCCCTTCCATTCTCTTAGTCATACGTCGTCGTAGTTATTGCAGTTGGTCGGTGTGGGATCACAATTTTCATCCTAGGATTCACAGGGTACAAAAAGTCGATTGGTCGTTGATCGATCGTGATTTCATATGAGTATTGGTTGCTAGAGGAGGTGAGGTCAGATGGAGATTCATCGACGACAAAGAACAACGGCCGACATGAGTTTAGGAGTTTAAATAAAAAATTTCAACGTTTTAGGGCTATTTTAGAAATTTTATGTTTTTTTTAAATATAATTTTAGTTTTTTAATTTTAAATAAAATTTTTAAAATTACTAAAATGTGACAAATATCACATAACGGAAAAAATTAACGGTGTTTACGCTCGGACACCTTAGGTGATAAAGTTTGTAACGTTGACTCGTCCAAAAAATAGTTTAGGCACTTATTCATCGAAAACGCTATAGTTTAGGTACTTATTTTATAATTAAACCAATAATTTTTAACGGACATTACTTAAATTTTATACATATAAATATGGGGAAATAAACATAAATTATTAAGTTAGAATACTTTTGTCTTCCTCTGTCTCTCTGTTATGGTTGCAGGGAGAGGGAGAGCAAAACTGAGCCAATCTCCACGACCTTTGCTTCTTGCAATCTAGTCTTTTTTACAGTAAGTTCATGCGTAACCTATCTCTAAAGATCTTTATTTTAACCCTTTTTTTTTACCATATTTCCGTTTTTTTTATCTATGGGAGTTTGTTCTTTGGTTGATGAGAAAATTCGAGGGAAGAACATGATTAGTATGAATTATGGGGTGGAATTAGCGAGGCCCTGATGCAAAATTTGAAATTGAATTACTTAGTTTGTATTTAGTCCCTCTGGATGTTAATTTCTGCTTCTCTGAATTTTGAATAAGATCTTTCGCGTGCATTCGTTGAGCTGCTAACTTAGAGTGTTGAATTTTGAATTACTGAAATGACCCCTCCTCCGCCTTCTTTTCAACATGATTTTAAAACTTTCCCTTCCGAGAATTTACTAATGTTGTTTGTACTATTATGCGTATGATTCATGTTTACTCTCTCTTTTTCTTTTTCGTGTGTGTGTGTGTGTGTGTCTGTGTGAAGGTTGATGAAATTCGACATTAGATTTGCATATAACCTATGTTATAGTAGATGATGGTGAGTGAGAAGTTGAGATCATTGTTGATTTTTCTGTTTTTATCTCGTAAGGGAAATTCTATGTTTGGTCTATTTAGCTCTCTAGATTGTAATCTCAGAATTCAAGAATAAGGCGTGAGCAATGCCGGCAAAACATGGGAATGATGATCGGCTGATAGACCATGGTGATCAAAGGGTGTTGCAGTCAACTCCATACTCTGAACCCTGGTGGAAAGGAGTTGGGTCTAACCCCTTTGGTAAATCTGCCTCTAAGTCACCTTCTGTAGAACAAGTAAATGGTTCAATGGCAAATGGGCTTGTAGATTCACGGGATCACAGTGGCTTGGGCAATGAAGGTAATTCCAGTAAAGAGAATCTAATCAATGTAGGATCACAATATGTGATTTCTCATATTATTTTAAAGATGGAATACTGCTTTTCATGTTAAAAGACCACAAGACACCAGCTTTTGGACTAGGTAAACTCTGTGATTTGGTGTTGGACTTTTTTTTTTTTTTTACCTTAATCACTTATTGGATCCGTGAATCAGCCTTCATTCTCCACACGCTGGTAATAGGTTATGATTCTACAAATGGAAGAAAGCATGTATTGTTTTCTTCAAACTAATGTCAAATTTTCTTTTGGTTCTGTTATTCATAATTCATTTACCTATTTAGTGTATTACAAGTAACCAAAATGTGTTTTAGAAATCGATTAAGAGGATGTGATCATGTCTCACAATTAGAAAAGGGGGAAAATGGAAAAAAGATTTAGTAAGACATCAAATTTTAGGGACAAAGTAATTTTCTAAGCACACACTGGATATAACTAGGACGAATGATGCTTCATGTTAATATGCCTTCTTATTTTTACTATGATCTCTAATAACGCTTCATTACCAATAAGTTACTTCCCTGTTATAGGCTCTCGGCTTGCTGTTCTCTTCCAGCTTGTGTGCATTCTATAAACTTACTTAATATACTGGAGGCCTTTTAAACTCTCTTCACCCCCTGGATTCCTCAACAGGGTTAGTGTTTTGGGTTGGGAAGATTTGTCCTTAGGTGTTGATTTTTAGAAGATCACATATGCTGTTTTAGGCTGTTGAGGACTGTAAAAGCCATTTAATCTAGGTTACAATAGCTGCCATCTGGGAATGATAACTAGTGCCATATAACATATTTGGTCCTTGCTTGAAATTGAGGCATACAAACCATTTGCTATATTCACTGGATATTGATGCTATCTTAGTGTTTTTATCAGATGGGAGAAATGGACAAGATCACCAACATCTCAAGCATGTTCCTTCCACAACACCCTTTACTTTGGGTGAACACCATGAACCTAATTCCCAAATGGAACTAGTTGGTCACTCAATTGTAAGGCTTCTCTCTCTCACACATTAGCACATGCGATCGCGCATGCACAGACATCAACTGCCACATACATTTATGTACAAAGAAGCACTTCATGAATGCACCAGCATGCATCCATCTGTGTGTTTTAGCACTCAACCTACACATTTTGTGCTCTTTGAATGTGTATGAATTTACGTTGATTTTCTCTTTGACTGTGGAAGAAACCTTGCTTCATACTTTCAGGTCTTGACATCATATCCTTATTCAGATCCTCAGCATGGTGGAATACTGACTCCTTATGGACCACAAATGATGGTATGATCCAAGTTTTATGTTACATGGTAAATATATTGGAGAACAGGAAAAACAAATACAGTGATTATTATTTTTCTGTAGATAGGGGTATCAGGTTGATAGAGAATAGATTCTTTCGAGTATAATTTGAATAAGACAATGTGACTTGTCTCCTTTTGCCTGTTATGAATTGTATCACTTTAAAAATAGGTTGCCAGAAGATAGATTCTTTTGAGCTATAATTTGTATACTTCGACAAAAGTTTTTACAATGTTGATGCTTGTATATAGGATTGTGGTTAATTTGCTTTGTATAATGCTCTGCTATACCGTGAGCACAAGTAGTGCTTACAAAGTTCATAGAAAATAAGCTAATCCTTCCTTCTTTTTCCTTGAGATCAAAATGACCTTATTGTTAGTTATTTAAAATTTATTTGCTAATTATTCACAGTTTGTTTACAAATAGTTGAAGAGCAATTTTACCATCTGAGTGATCCAACCATCATCTAACCTTTTTCCTTTACTTTTGGCATGATAGTTGTTGGTCATTGTTTGCAACTCATAATTTAAGAAGTTATTTCACGTACACGAGCTTCATGTGTTTTCACTAATGGGAATACAGGTTATGAACTTACTATTTTAAAGGTTTAGGGGATGTCCGTATTACTATTCAACACAGAACTAATGAATTTTATGCATTCTATTGCAAACCATATTCAGGTGCCACCACATCTATACGGAATGCATCATGCTAGAATGCCTTTGCCTTTTCAAATGGAAGAGGAGCCTGTCTATGTAAATGCGAAGCAGTATCATGGCATTTTGAGGCGAAGACAGATACGTGCCAAGGCAGAGCTTGAAAAGAAAGCCATTAAAGTTAGAAAGGTAGTTTTGGTATTGTTTTAGGTTTTTCCCCTTTTCTCGTTTAGTGGTGCCTGGAAGAAATGTACAACATAGGAAGGTTTCAGACTCATATCTGTTGCCATTGACTACAGCCATACCTTCATGAGTCCCGACATCTACATGCTATGAGAAGGGCTAGGGGTTGTGGAGGTCGTTTCCTTAATACAAAGAAGCTGGCTGATGATGTTACTAGTCCCGCCTCAGGAAAGGGCATGAATTCGGGTGAAAATGTTTCAATCAAATCAGCCATCTTTTCAGGGTCCGAGCGTGCATCTGCCACTGGTGCTGGAAATATGAATTCCTTCTTTGGTCAGAAAGAAGGAAATTGCGCAAGGGATATCGCGAATGGGAACGGGGCACGACATGGGGCCCCTTCTATCAAATGAAATTCCTCGAGGTGGGTGATTCTCACCAGCACGTTTGGTAATTGTTATTTGTCATTGCATGAAAGAATGGGTCATTATTTGTTTTTGTATGTAATGGGGGTCTTCTTGTATATAGGCAGCACTGGAGGAATTCGGCCCTTCAATCAGGGGTGGCGGCGGAATCCCTCTCAGGCAATTCATTCTTGGCTTTGGTTACCGATGGTTAAGGGGGTTATGAGAAGATATGCTGTCTTTGGTTTCATATTCACTTTGGTAAAAATGGTTTGAATTTTAACATGCCTCCCTTGGACCCTTCTGTATAATGATGAAAAAAGGTGTTGTATGTACCGAGTAGCAACTGTTGTGAATGTGCAAAATATGAAACAAATTGAGTGTGTATTAGGGCGTGGAGACGTGTAGCTTTAAACTTTTCCAGCAGTATGGCCTTAATAATGTAAATGGTGTCTCTTGTTTCTCTCTATGTTTGCTTTATGTTCCTATCAAGGATTCTATTTACAAATGTTGGTTTTGCCCCATGATCCCAGTGATGAAATATTCCATTATCAGAAAATGTGGGTGAAACACAGCCTCCATAAAATTATATGATACGAAGAAGCATAACAAATTGTAGGCAGGTCCTTGAAATTAATGAGATACCCAGTTACCTACACTGATATCAGGAACGTAAACTTACAGGTCTTATAGTGACATTACCAGGCAGCATTCCAAAGATAATACAAGACAGAAAGCTCATTCGACTAAAAATCAAAAGCACTTCCTATGAACAATAGAAGGCCCGGTTTCATCATAATCTGCCTTGGTTACATGCTGATTTTGTGGAAACACCACTTTAGCAAGAATTGCACCTCCCACCCATGCCGAATACATTGCCAAATTCTCTGGCATATATTCTGGAGGCTGCACAATTGGAAAAACTCAGAAAGCTTAAGATGATCGAAAAGAAAGCTAGGTCTAAACAATTAGACTGATAATATTTATTACCTTCACTAGACAAGGACGGATAGCTGATGAGCAGAGGCTTGCTTCTTTCTGGAACCTAGATTCAAAACCTGGATTAAGCACGGCAAAAACATTAACAGCCGTGAAGCAACAAAATTATTATCATCATAGGAACTACACCCATATTTTGCATCCAAATTTCTAATACAACACTTGTGTTGTAGCCATGAGTGTAGGGTTTAAGTACCATTTGGTACTTCCCAATTAAATACCTGTGCTTGGCTTCTGTTACACAATTTGGTACCTATAATGGCGTCAGCTTTGTAAATGCAGCACATATATCAGACAAATCTACAAAGTCGGCACGTTCGATAAGTTGTGTAACAGAAACCAATCATAGGTGCTTATTGAAACAAAACAGAACTCGTGTACTAAATCGAACATTGAAGCCAAACTTGGATATCAAATAGTGCATTAACCCTTTAACATATTATTGATAACTGAAATGAAAGAATCCAGAAATAAAGCTCTTCATCATTTGAAGTTGCAAGGCTCATAGGATATGATTCTCACTTGTCATAGATGTAGTCCCACCACAAAGAACTGTATTTTCTAGCAGCTGCTTCTGGTTCTCAGAAGAAACTGTTGCAACACTACGAACAAGCTGCTCAACAATTCCATGAGCTTCTAGACCCAATATGGATGGTTGGAACAATGCCTCACCAACAGTATATTTTTCTCTTCCAATTCTTATCACCTGAACAGTCATTTGAAGAGCAATCAGAAAACATACCAACACAGAGATCCCAACTGCAGAAGACTTCCCGAAAATAAGCTACTGGGAAAAATGTATAGAGATATGATTTGTTATGATTTGATACCATTCCTTTAGTTAAGGGATTCTGTACATATATTTATACAATCCCTTATTTTAAGGGATCACATCCTAGGATTAGTATCTTTCCTTTCTCAAGTGTTTCCTACTTTAGAGAGATAATTTGTATATAAAGATATAATCTGTCCTATTGAAAATAATATGAAAATACAGAGAATTACTCTGTTCTACATGGTATCATATTAGGTTACGGTTTCTTTCCAACCAAGACGATGTCCACAACTTCTTCTCCTACTCCGGAGATCACTTCGAATCCAGAAAATTTTTCTGATTCTGCTGCTCAATCAAAAGGTAATCTGGTCATGAAAGAACCAAAAGATAAACCTCATGCTATAGTTATTTTCTCCTCCCAGTTGACCCCTAACTGGATCCTCGATTCTGGTGCTACGGATCATATGAATGGTAATAACGATTTGTTTTGCAATTTTTTTCCAAACTTTGGTAAAGCTGTCAAAACGGCTGATGGTTCCTAGTGCAAAATAGGACATGGCACTGTTATTCTCAATGACCAGATTGTACTTGAAAATGTGCTCTTCGTACCAAATCTGGCTTGCAATCTCGTTTCCGTTAGTAAACTTTCCACTGACTTGCACTGCTCTACAATTTTTAATGATATTGATTGTACTTAGCAGGCACTGAACTCGAAGAAGATAATGGTAAGGCCAGCTTGCATAATGGTCTCTATATTCTTCCTGCCTCTACTAAAATCGAAATCTTGAAATCTTTCACCGCTTTAGAAAAAGTTGATAATGTTTTATTATAGCACTATCGTTTAGGCCATCCTAGTTTCCACCATCTTGCAAAAGTTTTTCCTGCTCTATTCATTCATAAAGGGCCAAATTTTTTTTCTTGCAAAGTTTGCTCTCTTGTCAAACATACTAAATCAACTTATTCTCCTTCTACATATAAGCCTTCTCACCCTTTTGCTTTGATCCACAGTGATATTTGGGGGCCTTCTCGGGTGAAGAATGCTGATAATTGTAAGTGGTTTATCACTTTCATTGATGATACAGTAGGATAACTTGGACTTATTTGCTAAAAGATAAATCTGAAAATGCTGGTGTTTTTACCCAATTTTATAACATGGTTCTCACTCAATTTGGATCTAAAATTCAGCTCTTTAAATCTGATAATGGCAGTGAATTTTTTGCCAAGTATTTGGGTGCGTTTTTCAGGGAAAAGAGCATAGTTTAGATTAGTTCTTATGTTGACACCCTACAACAAAACGGCATTGCCGAAAGAAAAAATAGATACCTCCTTGAAGTTACTCGTTCTCTTCTATTTACCACTAATGTTCCAAAATATTTGTGGGAGGAAGCCTTATTAACTGCCACATATTTAATCAATCGAATGCCTGGTAAGGTTTTACAATTTCAAACACCTCAATCTATATTTTTGAAATACTTTCACCATTTTAAACCTATCTCCTCCATTCTTCCACTTAAAATATTTGGTTGTACTGTTTTTATCCAAAACATTGCTCCTAATAAGTTCAAGTTAGACCCTAAATCATTAAAGTGTGTACTGGTTGGGTATTCTTCACTTAAGAAGGGTTATAAATGCTATCATCCTCCTTTTAAACGATTTTTACCACTATGGATATAACATTTTATGAGCATGATCCCTACTTCACTCGAGCTGAAATTCAGGGGAGACATGGAAGGATTTTCAGCCACATCAGGTATCTCCTCCTACTCTTCATTCTCAACTTTCAGAATTGCCACCAATTTTGTCTTTACCTATAGATTTGTCAGTTGTAACTACTCCCATTGATTCATCTGTAGTACCTATCACTACTTCACCCACACCTATTTTAAACACCCTCCCTGAAAACACACCTACCCCCATTCAAAATCTTCCACAAACATCACCAATCAAACAACTTTGTGTCTATACAAGGAAAAGAAAACATATTCCTGAGGTTGTTTTGCAATCTGATGCATGCCGAGAATTGGATTTGGGTCTAGCTGCCGAAATAGAAGAAGAAATCAGTAAGTCCACTTCCCCTACTTCAGATGACTTCCCTATTGCTATTAGAAAAGGAGTTAGACAGTGCACCAAGCATCCTATTGAAAAATTTGCTAGTTATAATTCATTGATGTCATCTTTTCAAGCATTTACAACAAACCTGGATAAAGAACAGGTTCCCACAAGCATAGCTGAAGCTCTAAAGGATTCAAAATGGAGAAGGGTTGTTGAAGAGGAAATTTGTGCACTAGAGAAAAATGCTACTTGGACTGTTACGGACCTTCCTCAAGGAAAAAAGGTTGTTGGCTGTACATGGATCTTTGCTGTAAAGTATAACTCCAATGGTAGTATTCAACGATACAAAGCTAGACTAGTGGCCAGAGGCTTTACGCAAACATATGGGATAGATTTCACAGAAACTTTAGCACCTGTGGAGAAGTCGAATACTGTTCGAATACTCCTAAGTTTGGCTGTAAATTGCGATTGGAAATTACACCAACTTGATGTAAAAAAACGTTTTTCTTAATGGCAAGCTAGAAGAAGAAGTCTATATGAAGTTTTTTTTTTGATAGAATGTCTATATGAAGTTTTCACCTGGCTTAAAGTCTGTTGAAGGAAGTAACAAGGTGTGAAAGCTCAACAAGTCTCTATACGGATTAAAACAATCACCCAGAGCTTGGTTCGAGAGGATCACTAAAGTCATTATGAAAAACGGCTACAAGCAGTCCCTCGTTGATCATACTCTTTTCATCAAGATAACTTCTACAAATATGAAAGCTATCCTTATTGTGTACGTGGACGACATAATTCTTACCGGAGATGATGAAGAAGTGATTTGCAATTTGAAGAAGTTAAATGAGAAATTCGAAACCAAGGACTTGGGAAAGCTAAGGTATTTCCTAGGAATGGAGGTGACAAGGTCAAAAGGACTTATAATCAACCAAAGAAAATATGTACTTGATTTACTCAAAGAAACTGGTTTTCTTGGTTGTAAGCCGATTGATACACCAATGGAGGCAAGCTTGAAATTTAGCAAAGAAGATAGGATCTTTAGTAGACAAAGAGAAATTTCAAAGATTAGTTGGGAAACTAATTTATTTATCCTTGACAAGGCTAGATATAGCCTTTCCTGTAAATGTGATAAGTCAACACATGACTAATCCTACTTAGGGAAGGCAAACGGGTACAATTTCGTGGATTCCGCATCGCATCCGTTTCAATTTGAGCGGGGATGGGTATAATTTTAGCGGATAGTGGGCGGGTGTGGATTTATAAAGTGGTACCCGTCGTGGGTGGTGGGCGGGTAATGGGTTTGAGACATTACCCGCCCCGCATCCGCCCGCCCAGCTAAATATCTATTAAATTTTGGACCATTATGAATTTAGGTGTAATTTTAGAGACTAATTTATAAATTTTAATATTGTATAATATATAACATATAATTTAACCAAATATTAAGGATATTTAGTCTTTAACCTGGTCTTTAATTAGGGAAATATTAGGCTCTTTGATTAAACCCATAATCCTACTAACCACGTCACTTTCCATGTTCTTTAGCCCGTGTTGCCCATCCAAACACAAATTAGTCGTACTATATGCATTAACATCAAAAGCAGCAGTTTCCATGTTCTTTAGCCCCTCAAAACCCATATTAG